CACACACACACACACACACACACACACACACACACATGCTCGTCCTATCGATGGAAAACTCTCTCTTTCTCTCTCTCTCTCTCTCACACACACACACACACACACACACACACACACACACAAAATCAGTTTTATTTTTATCTGCTTTCCTCTTATTGTCCGTCTTCCCTCTGATCTTTTTCTTATTTTTGCTTACTCCAACTGAGTACTCTTAAGTAGTGCCAAACAGCCGGTGGATCCACGTCTGGAGTGCCTACTGCACTCTTCGGGGGGCCGCTTGGTTCAGGGTGTCTGTGTTGCCTGTGGGTGATGACTGATGCTCGTCGGAGTGTCTCCCTGGCTCAGTGGGTGGTGGGAACCAACAGCCTGCAGGGTTCAATCATGATGTGAGTAGGTCATGTGCCGCTTTGCTCTGTGTTGGATGTGTGGACAGCCTCGTCTGTGCTCCGCCGCTGCCCTGCTGCCTGTGTCCCGCTTGCTTCGCATGTGGTTCTTTGCAGCTTGACGTGTTCACTGTGTGGTGTGGCCGTGTTGCTGGTGTTGCCTTGCGCTCCGCTGCTCCGCTGCCTTGCTGCCTTGCTGCTCATCCGCTGGTCGTGCCTTCCATGTTTGCTGCGTGGGGGCCTTGTTGGATGTCTGCCTTGTCGCTGATGCCTTGTGCTTCGCTCCGCGGTTTTGCCTAGCTGCTGGTCCGCTCGCCCTGTCATCCCTTGCAGTGTGGTTGCCTTGTTTCTACTCGGTTCCTGCGCTGCATGTCCTGCGTGCCATGTCGTTCCTTGCAGCCGTTTTTGGCGTTGTGCAGCCGTGTTCCCTCTACTGTCCTCCGTGCCATGTCATTCCTTGCAGTCATTTTGGCGTTAAGCAGCCGTGTTGCCTGGTGCTCCACAGGGTTGCTCCCCCCGCTGCTATGTACCGCTTGGGGAAAGTCTGCCTTCGACAATGGTCGAGGGGCTCACGACCCAAACCATCAAATACGGAGATTCCACAGATTGTCGAGGGTTGAGCCTCCTGATGAGTCAGTCGGTGCAATTCCGACGAAACAATCTCTCATCATGTTTTTTTTTTCTTTTTTTTCGGTCTTTGAAACTTTTATGGACTTGTATTTTTTTCTGATTTGCCTCGCTTGGAGGGTCCTTCTCGGACAAACAAGGTGTTCTGTGGGCAGCAGCATGCAACGCAACCAAAGCAAGGCGTACTATCACACACTGACTTTTGTGAATGCACAGGGCCACAATTGTCAATTAGATTCAGTCAGAAAAAAAGAAGCCCTCATTCAAGCAGACGGAACTTTCCCAGGGCCACAGTCAGCAGAACAAACGAGTCATGTGCAAAA